CAACAACAACAACAACCATCATTCAATCAATCCAACAATCCAACAATATCAACCAAACAAATAATCCCACAACAACAACATAATTAATTAATCAATCAATCATTTAAAGATAATAAAGGTCAGGTTTATCTTTGATCTACAAACACCTGTTCAGTTCACTGAACTGATCTATTATACCTGTTGTATTGATGCACTCATTAGGATGTTTATCTTTATATTACCTAAGATCAACCTTAGGTGCGATCTATCGGAGCATTGGTGGAGATGCCTGGATCAGRTATGAGCTGTTGTCGTGGTGGACCAGCTGATGATACTGTTGCTCATCAGTAAGTTGTTCCTGATACTGAGTGTGCTCCTGATACTGCTGCTGCTGCTGCTGTTGTTGCTCGTGAGTGAACTCATCATGATGGTCAGATATCTGACTTGAGGGATCGTCCAGCTGCTGACCCAAACTATCATTCATAATGACATCGATCTGCTGTTGATGTTGTGGCTGTTGTCGTTGTTGATGTTGATCCTTCTGCGCCAGATTCTTGATGTTATCAACCTTGGGCTCGTGAACGTTGGCTGAGATGAACGTATCGGTAGAGTGTGAGGATATTGGGGACGGACAACCACCTCCACCATTSTCAGAGAAGGTCTGATCAGGTTCATCATCCTCATGTTGTCTGTCTTGCTCTGTAGGGCAAGCGGCGATGTGATCCTTCAGTCTCTCAAGACAGTAGGCAAGGTCAATGTCAATGTGTTTCGACTTGTTGACATTGTCAATGAGCTGTTTGATTCTGCTCTTGTCAAAGCCAATGATCATYAACACAGCGATGGTGTGTTTGCAACACCTTGCCTTTCCATAACCATATGATGGGCAATTKCATTCCACGCCCTTGTCGTTGAGAGTGATCGAATAGGAACAATCCATTGTTGTCTTATCAAGGCTCAGGTTGATAGTGCCAGGACTGGTGTTGTTGAGTGTGATGGAGTACTTGGATGAGGTGATTGTTGAAGCGTTCGTCCAAGATGTCTCGAAATGTCTGTTTGCTTTGTTGATGGGAGTTGTTTGATCATCATCGTCGGGATTGAGTTCCAATGGGTCCACATGTCCATCTCCATCATCTATAAACTGTTCACGTGACGCCTGTAGATAGTTCTTCTTTGACTCGTCTTCATTGGTTGTGCCATTGATCTTGAAGAGCTCCTCCAATTGCTTGTTCTTCCTAGTTGACACATCCCAGTTTCCCCAATTGGTGCCATCCCTATCTATCTCTTGCCACTTCTCTCTATCGTGGTCACGCTTAATGATTGACAATCGAAGGAACTTGGAGAGAAGTTGAGTTGTGAATGAGTTGTCTGCTCCCTCCTTCTTCTTCTTGCTGATACCATTGTTGGTGGCAAATAATCTATTCTGCTTGGTAACTTTGTGTGAGCCTAGTGTGTGWAWATATATTTAAATGATTGAATGAATGTATGAATGAATGTTGTTTGTTTTGAGTTGTTGATGATGTTGAGTATTTGATTGTGTGATTGTTTGTTGTTATGGTTTTGATTGAGTGTCAATGTTAGAATGGTCAGACGAAGACATAACAACCTGCAGGACATTGATATATATATATATATACATACTCTCGATGGAGAAGTTGGCAAAGGCCAACAATGGACCATACTTCTCAAGGAAGAATCCTAAGTGATAAACAAAGGTGTGAACATAGGTTGTAACTGATCGCTCATCATAAAGACTGATCAAGTTGACCATCCATCTGTTTGAGTATTCAAACCATTTATCCTCTTTGATAAATGGTTTCTTCATGTTGTGGCAGAGGTTGAGCAATGCATGCAGTTGCTCCCAAAGTTGAAGTACCCTTTTAGTTCTCTCAGGGTACTTTTTGCCAGTGGCTTCAGAGTAGAGTGTCACCAACTTCTTATGATTGAAGAGAATAGACTTGCAATTCTCGTAGTTGACACGTGAGCTCCGGAAGCAGTCCACCAATGACTTGTCAGTGTGGTCGGCAAGATTTACCTTCATCTCACTGAATGTGTTCATCACCTTGGTCCGTAGTTCATGGCTAGGTATCGATTTGTTGGCCTCGAGGTCAATGAGGAGACATCGACATAACAACTTAACTACACCCATGGTGAGATGGAGTAGGTCAGGGAGGTGTTGTTCTATTGGGATGAAATCAATCAGTGGCACATGCTGCCGAGAGGAGAAAGATAATTATAACAAAGTTAGTAATTGCTTGAATGATTGATTGATTCATGAACAGTGCGTGATTGATTGATTGATTGTTTACATACCCGATGACCTTTGGTACTACGTCCATCCTTGCTGGTGAGCACATTCTTCATTGGCCGCCATGTGATGCACTTCTTACAAACGACGCGATCCTTGGCAGGTACATTTACTGTTCGAGAATGTGAACATGGCTCCCCAGTTTTTGTGTCTGGCCATGTTGGCAATGGGTGGGAGTGTTTGGCAATGCCGTGCTTGGTCACGGTGCACCAACAACATCGATAGTTGGTGCCAGTCTTAAATATGCTGTAAAGGCCGTTAAGGACAACCTGCAACGCCATGTCTGACACAATTAAAGGTTTGAGTCGGTACTCCATTCTCCGTGTGGCTGTTGTCGATGTTGTGGTAGTAAAAAAAAAAAAAAAAAAAAAAAAAAAAAAAAATGTTTTTGATGCCGTTGGTGTTGTAGGAGATGTATCTTTGGTGGATGTCTTTGAATCGTCTCTGGTGGAGTCGCCAGTGTCATTTGCAAGCTTTGTAGGAATGGCGCCATTGGATGATCGGGACTTCTTGATGGCAACAGGTGGAACTGAGTCTGTAGTTGACTTTGATTGGGAACCGGAGGATTGGACCGCAGAAGGTTCCTGGGGATTCTGCTCGACCTCCACATCAAGTTCTTTGCCTTGGATCACAATCTTCTTCCTTGGACGACCTTGAGAGTCAGACATTTCTGTCTTTAGATCATCAAAGAATTGTTTAAACTCTGATTCCACAGTTGGTCTCTTCTCATCACCAACGTAGACGAGGAAGATGCTGGAATCAAATGGACTCATCGCTTGTTGGTTTGGCTTGCTCTCGTAGAGTAGCTGTACGCAAGCCACCACCACCTTCTTCTTGGCTGAGAGAGAGAGACCGTCAGCTGAGAACTTGACATAAACTTTCTGATCGCCAATGAGGTCTCTCTCCTCCTTTAGTTTCTCAATAATGAGAGAGCGTATAGGAATATAACTGCCATTCTTTGATTTGGTTGGTGCTATTTTGTATCTCTTGACAACCTCTATTATTATTAAATGAAACAAATAAAAAAGTATTTGGTCAGTGAATGGTTTCACAAATCATTCATTCTCACACTTTGACAACATAGATAAAGATAGATAAATATATAAACAGAGATAAGATATATAGATACAGATATAGATAAATATATATATATATATATATATATAAAAACATAGAGATAGATATAGATATATATTTATATATAGTTATACGTACCCGCTTGATACTTCTTGATATTGTTCAATGAATACTTCTTGCGATCAAATGCAAGGTCATTGATGAACATGCTCCAACAGTGGTCAGGTATGTACAAGATCTCTTTGATGCCAGCCATATCCACAACATCCACATGATCAGTAACCTTCTTCAGCAACCTGGCTCTGGTACTCTTGCACTCCTGACATGCCTCTGTACACTTATGATGTAGATCGAGATTCTTGACATGTTTCCAAAGGTTTGTACTCTCAAACATGGCCTTGTTGGCAACACATGACTCGTGAGGACAAGCTTTCTTCTGATCATTCTTCTTCTTCTTCTCCCTTCTCCTCTCTTCTCTATTCTTGCAGCCTTTGCATTGGTCCGCACAACTGCCAATGGGATGTTGAGTCTCCTCGTGTCTCTCCATGCTGGTTCTTTTGGTAAACACATTCTCGCATGCACTCTTCTGCTTTCCCTCATCAACACGTGTCTCATGTAGACACTTGAAGTTCTTGTCGACCTTGGCAAGTCTCTGGTTGTTCTTGGTGTTCACTGCACAGACACCTGATGCCCATAACAGGACAAGTATGCCAACTAATAGTATAGCTCCTCTCTTCATTGTACTGACAGATGACAAATAAAGTGCAAAAGTGCAAATACCTTGCTCATACAACTGAGCTTGGTCACGGTTCACATGTCTTTCCACTTCACTTTACTCAGCCCATTACAACATTTTGTGTCCGATTTGATGATATGTATTCCTTGGGGAATGATATGGTCATTGTGTGGCTTCACCATGCCCCATTAATCGCCGATCTGACTTACTATGTGGGGTACAAAGACGGTCTGTTTAGTGTGTTGGTAGTGAACTCGGCCATCTCATTCTTGATGTTGACTGGTCGTCCGGCCAGGATGTGACTCGTTAGCGTTGACGTGAGGGAGCGCCACTCCTTTTTTTTTTTTTTTTTTTAGACTATTTAATGAGGAGGTTTATTATATTGCAAATAAATGGGCGTCATTGAAGAGGCGGGAATGGTTAGTCCTATTTTAGTTTCGTTTTCCTGTTTTTTTTTGTTGATTATGTTTTTTTTGTTGTTGGGAGGGAAGATGGGGTTGGTATCGATGCTGGGGGGTGAACGCGAGTCTTCTTGGGTGCCTTCTTGATTGGGTTGATGGGTGACACCGTGTTGGGCACTCCCGCATGGGGGGGAGTGGCTGGCTCATCACGTCTTCTACGGAGAGAGAGGGGCTTGAAGGTAGCCTTCTGTTCTGGTGGGTCAACAACTTCCTTAGTCGTAGGTGTTGGTGGCTCGTTGGTAGTCGAAGCGACTAATGCGTTTGGATGTGTAGGTGCCTCAGCCGTCAGCTTGTCAAGCAGCATGCCGGATGACTCATCTCGGTCTGAGTAAAAAAAAAAAAAAAAAAAAAAAATAAAAAAAAAAAAAAAAAAAAAAATAAACATAAAATTCACCGGCGTGGAGGTGCCGTTGGCCACTGGTGACGACGGCTTT